GGTGTTGTGTCTATATGATACAAAACTGGGTGTTGTGTCTATATGATACAAAACTTGGTGTTGTGTCTATATGATACAAAACTTGGTGCTGTGTCTATATGATACAAAACTTAGTGATGTGTCTATATGATACAAAATTTGGCATCAATATGATGCAGAATTTAGCATCAGTTTTCTGTTACAAAACTTGGCATCAAAATGATTCAAAAACAATTTATATTTGGTGACAAACGATAATTATCACTGCTAATGTATTGGGAGAAGTGTACAACAAAAAGTGCCATAACTTTATGGTCTATGGATGAACGTAGGTCAGGTTCTGTCTGTGGTACGTATGGACAGTTAGTTTTGTTAAGTTGTCATAATTTGTATGCTTGATAAACTACATGATTATACTAGTAGGTCCTATTGTAAAACGTGGCAATCAACACCCTCACAGTTATTTGGATTGCTGGTCTGACAGAAACACTAAAGCACCTATCAGCTGGTTAAAACGTCACTGCTGATGAAATACACATCCTCTGCCACCTAGTGCTGTACAGGTTTTCAATAAAACACAGATTAGTGTTAAATTGTAGTGGTACAGTGTGTGTGCTTCTTGCAGCCATCCGTCACTGCCACACTAAACCCCACACAGTACATGTACACTGTCAGTGTAAAATCCCTGACTCGGCAGTCTTTTAACATCCAATATTGGATACCATGAAGTTTGACTGCTGATCCCACAAATTCAATATAGTCATGATTTTACCTTGACACTGACCCTGTTTATTTAAGATTCCCTGATCCATTTTACAATCTTCACGTTTTTGTCTAAACTATCAGGATATTTTATCCCGTATCCCTTGAGATATGTACATTTTTAGGTGGGACTTTCTATGTCTGAAGTAAGAAGTTCAATTTCTCATCAGTATGCTATCATTCATGCAATAAAAGTATTAGCAGTGTTTACCTGATTGATTGATTGATTAATTGATCGGTTTTACGTTCGCTTCACTACCGAGTTCGGTTATCCAGCAGACTGTGTTTACCTTTAGTGTTTACCTTTATGTTGTACCCCTCCCCAGAGCAAGACCTGAGGTGATTATATTGCTGGGGGTCAGTTCAAAGGCCAAACTGCTGTTCTCTACAGCTACTTATGAGTTGTGGTTTTAACCTTTGAGCTGACCCCCACTTAGCCAGGCTGTAGGCAACATGTGGCTTCCATCACAGTTCTAATCCTGATCTGATTATATCTCTGACAGAATGTGTAAACCCCTCCCCCTCCATCTCCGTGGGGAGTTGTGGGAGGGAGAAGCTGTCCTATTCTAGATCTCCCACAAGGGTAGTGACCACTGATCACGAGTCAGTTTAACCTGTAAAACTTGTTGACTTGTGACAGTATATGTCAGTGTGTTCATTACATTCATACTATGTTGATGATAATAGTATGAGTTCTGACACTAGAAACTCATATCCTTAACACATGTAGTGTACAGGTATTTTCTAAATTTCCAAATAATTGCCGCAGTATTTCTACTCCCTGATATTAAGGTAGAATGCGAAAAGAAAAAAGAAAAAAAAATTGTTGCATTGAAACTCATGTTCCTAAATAAAATTTAGAAAATTAAATGAAACATTCATTTTATTTAAAAAAATATAATGGTAGCAATTTACAGAAAAATGGTATTCTATTCTGGATATAAGCTCTGGTGTGTAACACATTGTCACAAAAATTCTAGCTGAGGCATACATCAAAGGATGTTTTTTCCCCCAAGACATTTATGGAACTTACTTTTAACATACATAATACAGTTGATCCTATGATTGTAAACGATTTTTTCTTGAGAAAAACATTGACAAATGGCTGGAAGTTGATTGAGATTTGTCTACTACCAATATTTCATTGTGTGTTGTAGGAATGGGTCACAGCCACAGACATCAAGATTGTGTTGACGCGGATGAATACATTCGGAGATGAAGTGTTTGGTGATCCTCAAGTCCTGAAGTCCTACTTTTATGCCATCTCTGACTTGGCTGTTGGTGCTAGGTATGTGTTTTATACCATTGGTCATACCTTAATCAGATGTTATTAAGATATATAGAAGTTAATGGTAAACATACTAGTGGAAACAATGGGAAACTGTAAATTGTTTGTGCCAGGTGTAAGTGTAACAGCTACACCAGTATATATAATATGTGAAAATTGTTTTTCGCAGGTGTAAGTGTAACAGCTACACCAGTATATATATATGTGAAAATTGTTTGTCGCAGGTGGAAGTGTAAAAGCTACACCAGTATATTTAATTTGTGAAAATTGTTTGTCCCAGGTGTTAGTGTAACAGATACACCAGTATATATAATTTGTGAAAATTGATTGTCCCAGGTGTAAGTGTAATAGCTACACCAGTATATATATTATGTGAAAATTGTTTGTCGCAGGTGGAAGTGTAAAAGCTACACCAGTATATTTAATTTGTGAAAATTGTTTGTCCCATGTGTTAGTGTAATGGCCACGCCAGTATATATAATATGTGAAAATTGTTTTTCGCAGGTGTAAGTGTAACAGCTACACCAGTATATATAATTTGTGAAAATTGTTTGTCCCAGGTTTAAATGTAACAGCTACACCAGTATATATAATATGTGAAAATTGTTTGTCGCAGGTGTAAGTGTAACAGCTACACCAGTATATATAATATGTGAAAATTGTTTGTCCCAGGTGTAAGTGTAACAGCTACACCAGTATATATAATTTGTGAAAATTGTTTGTCCCAGGTGTAAGTGTAACAGCTACACCAGTATATATAATATGTGAAAATTGTTTGTCGCAGGTGTAAGTGTAATGGCCACGCCAGTGGGTGTAGAAAGGTGGAAGTAGACGGTGATATTGAACTTGTCTGTAATTGTCACCACAATACCACCGGTAATAACTGTGAGCAATGTCTCCCTACCCACAACGACCGACCCTGGGGTAGGGCCACCGAGCGAAATGCACAGGAGTGCCTACGTAAGTACGACCAACAAACAACACAGGATAGAAATGTCACCAACTAATTTTGATCAAACAACTTTAAAGTATATTTCATAGAAATGAGGATTGCATATGTATAATAATGCAGATTGTAGATCCCCTAACTACATTTATTTTGTACAATTTTATGACATTGATTCTGAAATAGCTGGTAATTTTTTCGACTGTTTGAAAAAAATTGGATGGAAGGCAGACTGCCTTAGTGTTCGAATTCATTACATTGATATGGACATGTATGCAAACTAACACAGCTAACAAGTAATCTAGTAATTCTTTGTGTTTTTGACACATGTGTCGGGTAACGCAGGTATTTAGGGGATCGAGCATACTACAAAGTTTGCTCAAGGAGAGTTGCAGATTCGATCGTTTGATATGTCATCTGGCAGCTGAATTTCTATTGCATTGACTAAACGTATGCAAATGAAACCTAGCATTACATTTCATCCATAAAATGTAGTGACGTCATTTTGTGGGTAGCCAACGAATGCCAGAAAACACATTCATCATCCATTTCGGTGTTGTATTTTCTGGTCAGGAAGCTTTTGAAAAATACAACAATGCATGTATAGTATATTATAAAATCAATAAATATATTCTGATATACTTTCTCGTACAATACCAAGCTTGCTCATTTATGTGCTTCCCGGAGCAGATCATTTCCTCTGATCATCTGCTTACAGTAAAGTCTGTGCTCTGACCTTCTTTTTACACCCCCAGCAACGAAGTTAGGGGTTACACTGGAATCACTCTGTCCGTCCGTGCGTCCAACCATTCACCTGGTTAATAGTTATAATAAGTCGAGGTTCTTATATACCTCTTTATCACAACCTAGTTCGTAGGTCGTATCCAAGCGGTTTACAAATTATTATCCGTGGTTATAGGGCCGGAGCAACCAGCCAATATCTTTTTCAACTCCCTGGGGAGCATACAGCCGGAGCTAACAGCTAGCATTCAACAATTCTAGCGCTGCCCAACCACATACTCATTTACAGCTGAGTAGACTGGAACAAGCGGAGTAAAGTATCTTGCTCAAAGATGCAACACAGTGCCCTGCCATGCCTCGAACCCGCAACCCTTCGGTCACCAGCCCGGCGTCCTACCACTAGACTAACGTGTCTCCTAATAAGAATTTCTCTCGTCTATATCTTGCCTACTACAAGTGCTATGTTGATTATACTTTCATCAATTGTGTATCTAGGGTTGCTCTACTGAATGCATATTTCGGATGCTGATTTTGACCTATGTTTTACGTTTCATTGACTCGGTTAAGAAGAATTGCTCTTATCTATATCTTGCCTACTACAAGTGATACATAGATTAAACTTGCATGAATGATAACTGTCTGTTCATCTACTGATTTTATATTGCAGATGCTGAATTTGCATTTGCAAACATTTTCTGCTTTAGTGATTGCATAGTAAAAAATTGTTGAGTTGGTTAAAAGTACTTGTCATATTTATCATGTTTTTAATGACTTTTGTACTGCGAGCGGGGGATATCGATGACCTCGTCTTCTTGTAGGACTTTCGTTGATTGTGTATGTTAGTATTATCTGATAATGATAGTGTGTGTATGTGGTTCTATATTGTGTATGTGGTTCCATATTGTGTATGTGGTTCTATATTGTGTATGTGGTTCTATATTGTGCTTACTGGATTGTAGTTCAGGTAAGTGATCTGTTCAATTTAGTCTCTTAGATTTCCTGAAATCTGGGTCATTATTTGAAATGTAAAAGTTAATCTGTAACCATCGAGGCATCCATTTTTGTACCTGTTCAGGTTGTGACTGTAACGGCAAGGCTGATGGCTGTTACTTTGACCAGGACTTGTTTGCCCAGACTGGACACGGCGGCTATTGTATTGACTGTCGTGACAACACGGACGGGCCAAAATGTGAGAGATGTAAGGACAACCATTACAGACGTCCTGAGGACAACATGTGTACTCCCTGTAACTGTAACCCCCTAGGTAAGTAGACAGGTGTACTCCCTGTAACTGTAACCCTCTTGGTAAGTAGACAGGTGTCCTCCCTGTATCTGTAACCCTCTAGGTAAGTAGACAGGTGTATTCCCTGTAACTGTAATCCTCTAGGTGAGTAGACACGTCTCCCTGTAACTGTAACCCTCTAGGTAAGTAGACAGGTGTACTCCTTGTAACTTTAACCCTCTAGGTAAGTAGAAAGGTGTACTCCCTTAACTAACCCCCTAGGTATCTGTAACCCTCTAGGTAAGTAGACATGTTTACTCCCTGTAACTGTAACCCTCTAGGTAAATCGACAGGTGTACTCTCTGTATCTGTAACCCTCTAGGTAGGTAGACAGGTGTACTCCCTGTAACTGTAGCCCTCCAGGTAAGTAGACAGGTGTACTCCTTGTATCTGTAACCCTCTAGGTAAGTAGACACGTCTCCTGTAACTGTAACCCTCTAGGTAAGGAGACAGGTGTACTCCCTGTAACTGTAACCCTCCAGGTAAGTAGACAGGTGTACTCCCTGTAACTATAACCCCCCAGGTAAGTAGACAGGTGTACTCCCTGTAACTTTAACCCTCTAGGTAAGTAGACAGGTGTACTCCTTGTAACTTTAACCCTCTAGGTAAGTAGAAAGGTGTACTATCTGTAACCCTCTAGGTAAGTAGACAGGAGTATTCCCTGTAACTGTAATCCTCTAGGTGAGTAGACCCGTCTCCTGTAACTGTAACCCTCTAGGTAAGGAGACAGGTGTACTCCCTGTAACTGTAATCCTCTAGGTGAGTAGACACGTATCCCTGTAACTGTAACCCTCTAGGTAAGTAGACAGGTGTACTCCTTGTAACTTTAACCGTCTAGGTAAGTAGACAGGGGTACTCCCTGTAACTTTACCCCTCTAGGTAAGTAGACAGGTGTACTCCTTGTAACTTTAACCCTCTAGGTAAGTAGAAAGGTGTACTCCCTTAACTAACCCCCTAGGTATCTGTAACCCTCTAGGTAAGTAGACAGGTTTATTCCCTGTATCTGTAACCCTCTAGGTAAGTAGCCAGGTGTATTCCCTGTAACTGTAATCCTCTAGGTGAGTAGACACGTATCCCTGTAACTGTAACCCTCTAGGTAAGTAGACAGGTGTACTCCTTGTAACTTTAACCCTCTAGGTAAGTAGACAGGTGTACTCCTTGTAACTTTAACCCTCTAGGTAAGTAGAAAGGTGTACTATCTGTAACCCTCTAGGTAAGTAGACAGGTTTATTCCCTGTATCTGTAACCCTCTAGGTAAGTATACATGTGTTCTCCCTGTATCTGTAACCCTCTAGGTAAGTAGACAGGGGTATTCCCTGTAACTGTAATCCTCTAGGTGAGGAGACACGTCTCCCTGTAACTGTAACCCTCTAGGTAAGTAGACATGTGTACTCCCTGTAACTGTAACCCTCTAGGTAAATAGACAGGTGTACTCTCTGTATCTGTAACCCTCTAGGTAGGTAGACAGGTGTACTCCCTGTAACTTTAACCCCCTAGGTAAGTAGACAGGTGTATTCCCTGTAACTTTAACCCCCTAGGTAAGTAGACAGGTGTACTCCTTGTAACTTTAACCCTCTAGGTAAGTAGAAAGGTGTACTCCCTTAACTAACCCCCTAGGTAAGTACAGACAGGATTTTGTTTTATGTATGTCCTGTTTTATCATATTTCTGTCAGTAATGCTTAAATAATGTAATCAATCGGACTAGAATGCATATAATGGGAAGTCTCAGTCCAAGTCCATTTCCAAACGTGGTACATACATATTAGTGCATAATTAGAGTGGTTTGGTTAATTGGCTTCTGTGAAATATCTGCTCTGAAAATAGTTCAGTTTCAACCAAACTTGGTATGCAGTTTCATAAAGGCAAGTCTTATATGCAAAGCTTGATTATCAGTGTGATACATGCATACTTTCATTTAAGCAAAAGATGTTACTTACCAGTAATTTTAATTGGGTTATTGGTTGCCATATACTACCAATAACTGCCATACAAGGGTTTAATTTCAACCAAATTGTATATGTCTATACTAAATGTTCAATTTCAACCAAATTTAGAATGCATGTCCATATTGATCAGACTTGACATGTCTTACATTAGGTATATCTACATTAAATCGTAACAATGGACCAAAGTTACAGCATTGTAATGAAAGCATAGGATATAAACTCCTTGAATTTGTTTGTGTAGAAGTGACTTCATCACGTGTGTCATGTTACAGGATCTGAAGATCTCCAGTGTGACAGTATCGGGCGTTGTCAGTGTAAACCCGGAGTGACCAGCGAGAAGTGTGATCGATGTGAGGTCGGACACTTTGACTTTGACCAGTATGGCTGCAAGTGAGTGTAGAATTTGGTTTTCTTTTACATGGGCTACCATATATATGATGTAAAGTTACCATATATATGATGTAAAGACTTGGTACCCTATGGATTACTAATGTGTGTACATGGGTTACCATATATATGATGTAAAGACTTGGTACCCTATCATATATATGATGTAAAGTTACCATATATATGATGTAAAGACTTGGTACCCTGTGGAATACTAATGTGTGTACATAGGTTACCATGTGGTGGGTTTAATCTTCTATATGGGTTTTATACTTGTACATAGGTTACCACGTGGTGGGTTTAACCTTCTATATGGGTTTTACACTTGTACATAGGTTACCATGTGGTGGGTTTAACCTTCTATATGGGTTTTACACTTGTACATAGGTTACCATGTGGTGGGTTTAACCTTCTATATGGGTTTTACACTTGTACATAGGTTACCATGTGGTGGGTTTAACCTTCTATATGGGTTTTACACTTGTACATAGGTTACCATGTGGTGGGTTTAACCTTCTATATGGGTTTTACACTTGTACATAGGTTACCATGTGGTGGGTTTAACCTTCTATATGGGTTTTACACTTGTACATAGGTTACCATGTGGTGGGTTTAACCTTCTATATGGGTTTTACACTTGTACATAGGTTACCATGTGGTGGGTTTAACCTTCTATATGGGTTTTACACTTGTACATAGGTTACCATGTGGTGGGTTTAACCTTCTATATGGGTTTTACACTTGTACATAGGTTACCATGTGGTGGGTTTAACCTTCTATATGGGTTTTACACTTGTACATAGGTTACCATGTGGTGGGTTTAACCTTCTATATGGGTTTTACACTTGTACATAGGTTACCATGTGGTGGGTTTAACCTTCTATATGGGTTTTACACTTGTACATAGGTTACCATGTGGTGGGTTTAACCTTCTATATGGGTTTTACACTTGTACATAGGTTACCATGTGGTGGGTTTAACCTTCTATATGGGTTTTACACTTGTACATAGGTTACCATGTGGTGGGTTTAACCTTCTATATGGGTTTTACACTTGTACATAGGTTACCATGTGGTGGGTTTAACCTTCTATATGGGTTTTACACTTGTACATAGGTTACCATGTGGTGGGTTTAACCTTCTATATGGGTTTTACACTTGTACATAGGTTACCATGTGGTGGGTTTAACCTTCTATATGGGTTTTACACTTGTACATAGGTTACCATGTGGTGGGTTTAACCTTCTATATGGGTTTTACACTTGTACATAGGTTACCATGTGGTGGGTTTAACCTTCTATATGGGTTTTACACTTGTACATAGGTTACCATGTGGTGGGTTTAACCTTCTATATGGGTTTTACACTTGTACATAGGTTACCATGTGGTGGGTTTAACCTTCTATATGGGTTTTACACTTGTACATAGGTTACCATGTGGTGGGTTTAACCTTCTATATGGGTTTTACACTTGTACATAGGTTACCATGTGGTGGGTTTAACCTTCTATATGGGTTTTACACTTGTACATAGGTTACCATGTGGTGGGTTTAACCTTCTATATGGGTTTTACACTTGTACATAGGTTACCATGTGGTGGGTTTAACCTTCTATATGGGTTTTACACTTGTACATAGGTTACCATGTGGTGGGTTTAACCTTCTATATGGGTTTTACACTTGTACATAGGTTACCATGTGGTGGGTTTAACCTTCTATATGGGTTTTACACTTGTACATAGGTTACCATGTGGTGGGTTTAACCTTCTATATGGGTTTTACACTTGTACATAGGTTACCATGTGGTGGGTTTAACCTTCTATATGGGTTTTACACTTGTACATAGGTTACCATGTGGTGGGTTTAACCTTCTATATGGGTTTTACACTTGTACATAGGTTACCATGTGGTGGGTTTAACCTTCTATATGGGTTTTACACTTGTACATAGGTTACCATGTGGTGGGTTTAACCTTCTATATGGGTTTTACACTTGTACATAGGTTACCATGTGGTGGGTTTAACCTTCTATATGGGTTTTACACTTGTACATAGGTTACCATGTGGTGGGTTTAACCTTCTATATGGGTTTTACACTTGTACATAGGTTACCATGTGGTGGGTTTAACCTTCTATATGGGTTTTACACTTGTACATAGGTTACCATGTGGTGGGTTTAACCTTCTATATGGGTTTTACACTTTTACATAGGTTACCTGTATATGGTGCTTTCACCTGTACATTGGTGTAATAAGTGTTGAGATGAAGCACTGAACCATGACTGATCAGCCTGTTTAGAATACAGGAACTTTTTAAATGCTTTTTTCTTAACATGTCAATGCTACATTGTGACTAATATTCTAAAATAGGAGGCACAACAGTGACAGCATTGACGATCCTTTATATAATCTACCATGTGTTTCTGTTCTATAGGCCATGTAGCTGTGACCTGGCTGGCAGTCTGGTGGTGGTCAATAACTTCCCCACCTGTAATCCCCTGGACGGTAACTGTGAGTGTAAGGAGCTTGTGGAGGGCCGCACCTGTGATAGGTATGCAACTATACCAAGGTTCTGACAACGAATTCTGCACTGCAGGGTAGAATTTCAAAATCTCACACACCTACATAATGATTGATTCTTTTTCTCCCACCTGTTAACTGAAATTTTGGTAAAAGTTTGCATATAGCAAAATGGAATGTTTACACAATCTAAAACCATGTCTGGAAAGAGAAAGAAGCAGTTTGGTTTGCCGTAGGTATACCTTAGAGGCAAGCTGGTGCAATACCTTATGTTTCTGAGGTAGTGTTACTTGCTGACTAGGTATACCTTAGAGGCAAGCTGGTGCAATACCTTATGTTTCTGAGGTAGTGTTACTTGCTGACTAGGTATACCTTAGAGGCAAGCTGGTGCAATACCTTATGTTTCTGAGGTAGTGTTACTTGCTGACTAGGTATACCTTAGAGGCAAGCTGGTGCAATACCTTATGTTTCTGAGGTAGTGTTACTTGCTGACTAGGTATACCTTAGAGGCAAGCTGGTGCAATACCTTATGTTTCTGAGGTAGTGTTACCTCCTGACAGCAAGATTGTCATAGTCAAATGACATTTTGACAGTCTTTAGATTGTGACGTCATAATTGTAAAGGTCACCAGGTGCACCCATCTGAGACACACATATCCCCCCAAATGAGTGTTTCGTACCTGTATCTGAACGTGTGCTGGGAGAAAGGTATATACCAATACTGACACAGGTGTTACTGCCTTCTTTGAGAGATCTGTCCTGTTATATGTTACAGGTGTAAGGTGGGCTATTTTAATCTGAATACTGACAACGAGTTTGGTTGTACCTCCTGTTTCTGTTACGGCCATTCAGACGATTGTTCCAGCGCTGCAGGCTACTATGCCAGGAGCATCACCTCAGACTTTGAAACAGGTACGTCTTCAATCCAGGTAGCTTCTCTATCAATAGTTGTCAGTCCTAATTCTGTTGTACACAACAATACTATTTAACTCTTAATTCCTTTTTCCTGCATTTAGAGCACCCACGTGTAAGAGGAAGTCATGAACAAGTATTCATAAATATTATATTGTGATAATTATTCGCCGCCTTGTAATTTTCACCTTTTTTTTCCGCTCTTTGCAATGAGAGCAAATGTATGATACCCTGTATAGTCATTACACTATAGGGACAAAGTTCACACTTGGTAAACATAGATTTTACCAGTGAAGGGAGGATATTTGATTAAACGAAAGTCTCCCGGTATGCAGTACTTGTTTTGACGAGAAATCATGATATTTATGGCAACATTATGAAGTTCAAAGTTCAATTATGAAATTAGTTTCAATTAAAATATGCTTGAGAACAAATCTGTCTTAGAATGCAATTATTTTGTACGAAATAATTGGATCTAATATAAATTCAGGTATTGTGAAGCTTTAGTGGTGTTTGTGAATTAATTAGCCCTGATTGTTAGTAACTCAGGATTGAGTTGTGAAGTGGATGGACACTCTTCAGGTTATCTTTACATTGTGTTTAGTCATGTTTGTGAATTAATTAGCCGTGATTGTTAGTAACTCAGGATTGAGTAGTGAAGTGGACACTCAACAGGTAATCTTTACATTGTGTTTAGTCATGTTTGTGAATTAATTAGCCCTGATTGTAAGTAACTCAGGATTGAGTTGTGAAGTGGACACTCAACAGGTAATCTTTACATTGTGTTTACAGGTAAACAAAGGTGGACAGCAGCAGATCGGGCCAACAATGTTATAGAAACCTCTTACAATGGCATCCTGCAGAACATCGGTGCATCTGCTGATGATGACCAGCCCGTCTACTTCCTAGCTCCAGGTAACTTAATAAAGCACCTCTTAATCAGTGGATTTCTGTGATTGAGTCATGCCTGTTACCCAGTAGATTCCGTGATTGAGTCATGCCTGTTACCCAGTCGATTCGGTGATTGGGTAATATCTATCAATTCACAGCTCACGTGGTCTTCATAGAGAACCATTTGCACTCTAACCCCTTGTAAATTAGGCCTCCAGTAAGCAAACAGAACCCTTCATAATTAAATGTGTGATATACCATTTTCTCTATCTTCATCCAAAAGATAGTTAGCAATTTCTGTTCTTTTTCTTGAACTATCTAATTTTTTAGACATCTTTAGAAAGAAAGATACACTTTTGTTATTTTTTTCCTTGCCGTCTACAGCTCGTTATCTTGGAGACCAGAGATTTAGTTTCAACCATTACCTGACCTTTGACCTGCGTATTGGCCAGGAACGTCCACGTCCATTGGCTGTGGACATTGTATTAGAGGGATCAGGCCAGCGAATCTCCACTGCCATCTACACTCAGTCCAACCCCATGCCTAGCATTCAGAGCCAGACATACCGGTTCCGGCTCCACCAACACCCCAATTACCAGTGGACCCCACGGCTCCAGCCTCGTGACTTCATCGCTATCCTGTCCAACCTGACTGCCATCAAAATCCGTGCGACATACAGTGATGGAGGTATGTCTCTATCTAACATACAGTGATGGAGGTATGTCTATCTAACATACAGTGATGGAGGTATGTCTCTATTTAACATACAGTGATGGAGGTATGTCTCTATCTAACATACAGTGATGTAGGTATGTCTCTATCTAAAATACGGTGATGGAGGCATGTCTCTATCTAACTTACAGTGATGGAGGTAGGTCTCTATCTAACATACTGTGATGGAGGTATGTTTCTATCTAACATACAGTCATGGAGGTATGTCTCGATCTAACATACAGTGTTGGAGGTATGTCTCTAACATACAGTGGTGGAGGTATGTCTCTATATAACATACAGTGGTGGAGGTATGGCTCTATCTAACATACTGTGATGGAGGTATGTTTCTATCTAACATACAATGGTGGAGGTATGTCTATCTAACATACAATGGTGGAGGTATGTCTCTCTTTAACATACAGTGATGGAGGTATGTCTCTATCTAACATACGGTTTAGGAGAACAGTTTACTACCAAGGATGGGTAACAACTTGTGTACTTTCCAAGTAACAGGGGAAATATTCAATGTCTGACCTCTCACATACTCACAAGAGGAAATGTCTTTGTTTTTGTTTTTACACTTGGTGGGAAATATTAAATACAGCATGTTTCACCTCTGTATACTTGAAACTATTAGTTTCCACTTGTTGTAGGCAAATGAAGTTGTTTTACAAACCACTTCTGATTAGTACAGGAAGGCTGCTTTTTTATGCTGTTTATGAATGATATTTTACTTGTTACGCAGGTGTTGGGTTCCTAGACAATGTGCGCCTGGACACGGCCAGTCTGGGGTCTAATGGTGGGGAGGAAGCTCCCTGGGTGGAGCAGTGTACCTGTCCCGAGGGATATGTTGGCCAGTTCTGTGAGTCCTGTGCGGCCGGTTACATGAGGTCACCAGTGTACGGGGGTCCTTTCTCTAGTTGTGTTCCCTGTCAGTGTAACAGCCACTCCCAGAGCTGTGCTCCAGACTCAGGTATGTAGAACGAGTTGCCTCCCAGGTATGTAGAACGAGTTGCCTCCCATGCGGTATAACACCAACTTAAGTCACTATACATGTGACAGATTTAGGCACATAAGTATTTGTTAAATTTTATTTCATAAACTAAAACCATAGGGGTAAATGAACCAATACTCAAGTGCTGCTATAGTTAGACTCAGAAAGCCTTACTCTAATGTCAGTGATGCTCACACCTACAATGCTCTCAGAAAGCCTTACTCTAATGTCAGTGATGCTCAAACCTACAATGCTCTCAGAAAGCCTTACTCTAATGTCAGTGATGCTCAAACCTACAATGCTCTCAGAAAGCCTTACTCTAATGTCAGTGATGCTCAAACCTACAATGCTCTCAGAAAGCCTTACTCTAATGTCAGTGATGCTCAAACCTATAATGCTCTCAGAAAGCCTTACTCTAATGTCAGTGATGCTCAAACCTATAATGCTCTCAGAAAGCCTTACTCTAATGTCAGTGGTGCTCAAACAAACAATGCTCTCAGAAAGCCTTACTCTAATGTCAGTGATGCTCAAACCTACAATGCTCTCAGAAAGCCTTACTTTAATGTCAGTGATGCTCAAACCTACAATGCTTAAGACAGATTGTGTTGCTCACATTTTTTCAGGATTCACATCAATAAAACTAAAAATAAATAGACTTTTGCAAGCTTTATAAATTAGGAATGGAAATTCATTGATAATTAGTGAACTTTAAGATATGCTATTTAGAACTGTAACGTTGATGTCAAAAGACTATCTTTCTCCTATCCTTCTACTCTATCATATAAACACTGTTGTCAATATCTCTGTGTAGGGGCTGGTCACAGTAAATGTTGGCAGACTATCCTCCTGCTACCCTTATATCAGAATTTATGTCCATATTTCTTATGCTCTTGTATACAACATTAGGATAACGGGATACTTTTTGGCTGTATTTATGTAATGGAATTCAGGGATGAAACATACATTGGGTATTTGTTGAATATAGCTGAGTTTAATATGATAATGTGTGAAATATAAATAAATCTGTGTTTTTAGGCCGCTGTAGGTGTGAACACAACACAGAGGGACAGAACTGTGAGAGGTGTATCAAAGGTTACTATGGTAACCCTCTCCAGGGTACGACTGATGACTGTCAGATGTGTCCCTGCCCCAATGGAGGTGCATGTGAACAGCTGCCTGGTGGAGACGTGGTGTGTACCGAGTGTGACGAGGGACATGGAGGTAAAACTGAGGATTTCTTGTCCTAGAGTAACAGAGTTTCATTGTGAGCTAAGCCGTTAAGATTTTGCGGATTTAGCTACTGAAATAACTCCAATACCCATGTAACTGTTCCGTTGATACAAATATATGTTGCCATCAAGGTGTGGTTAAGACTAGTCAGGGGTACTGGGATATACATGTTTTATCAGACAGCACCAGTAGCATCAAGGTGTGGTTAAGACTAGTCAGGGGTACTAGGATACACATGTTTAAACAGACAGCACCAGTAGCATCAAGGTGTGGTTAAGACTAGTCAGGAGTACTGGGATATACATGTTTTAACAGACAGCACCAGTAGTTTTGATTTATCAGAACATAGAGATCGGTTATAGTTTATTCAACAATTTGACAACATGTCAATGCTACCTACAATCTGTCCCCTTCATCACATGGTTAGTCAGCTGTGCCTTACCTGATGGTTTGGGTATGCAATGTTAACATCTAGAGGATTCTTTTTACCACACTTGATAATAAAATTACTACATGGTATTTGTTTTAAACAGGCAACCTGTGTGACATTTGTTTGGATGGTTACTATGGTGATCCTGCTGGTTTAAGTGGTGGTGCAAGGCCCTGTGTAAAATGTTTCTGTAATGAGAATGTGGACACCAATGCTGTGGGCAACTGTGACAGGTAAGATACAACACTGTGCGCAACTATGACTGGTAAGATACAGCACTGTGGGGAACTGTGACAGGTAAGATACAACACTGGGCAACTGTGACAGGTAAGATACAACACTGTGGGCGACTGTGACAGGTAAGATACAACACTGTGGGCAACTGGGACAGGTAAGATACAACACTGTGGGCATCTATGACTGGTAAGATACAACACTGTGGGAAACTATGACAGGTAAGATACAACACTGGGGGCAACTATGACAGGTAAGATACAACAGTGTGGGCAACTATGACAGGTAAGATACAACAGTGTGGGCAACTGTGACAGCTAAGATACAACACTGTGGGCAACTATGACTGGGAAGATACAACACTGTGGGCAACTGTGACTGGTAGGATACAACACTGTGGGCCACTGTGACAGGTAAGATACAGCACTGTGGGCAACTATGACTGGTAAGATCCAACACTGTGGGCAACTGTGACAGGTAAGATAACATGTTTTAACAGACAGCACCAGTAGTTTTGATTTATCAGAACATAGAGATCGGTTATAGTTTATTCAACAATTTGACAACATGTCAATGCTACCTACAATCTGTCCCCTTCATACATGGTTAGTCAGCTGTGCCTTACCTGATGGTTTGGGTATGCAATGTTAACATCTAGAGGATTCTTTTTACCACACTTGATAATAAAATTACTACATGGTATTTGTTTTAAACAGGCAACCTGTGTGACATTTGTTTGGATGGTTACTATGGTGATCCTGCTGGTTTAAGTGGTGGTGCAAGGCCCTGTGTAAAATGTTTCTGTAATGAGAATGTGGACACCAATGCTGTGGGCAACTGTGACAGGTAAGAAACAACACTGTGGGCAACTGTGACAGGTAATATACAACACTGTGGGCAACTATGACAGGGAAGATACAACACTGTGGGCAACTATGACTGGGAAGATACAACACTGTGGGCAACTGTGACTGGTAGGATACAACACTGTGGGCAACTATGACAGATAAGATACAACACTGTGGGCAACTATGACTGGTAAGATACAGCACTGCGGGCAACTGTGACAGGTAAGATACAACAGTGTGGGCAACTATGACAGGTAAGATACAGCACTGTGGGCAACTGTGACAGGTAAGATACAACACTGTGGGCGACTGTGACAGGTAAGATACAACACTGTGGGCAACTACGACAGGTAAGATACAACACTGTGGGCAACTATTACAGGTAAAATATACCAACACTGTAGTTACTTGAAGTTGTTACATCTGATGTAAAACATACTGAATGCAAGTTTGTGTCGTCTGGTAAGGAATTGTGTTATGAACATCAGACTGTTAATAAACTCAATATGGTGTAACTGGAATGCCTGTTAACAGTATAGTATGGGTGAGAATTGGGGTAGATACACCTGATCAGGGGTAGATGTAGGTATGGTAAGATACAACACTGTGGGCAACTATTACAGGTAAAATATACCAACACTGTAGTTATTTGAAGTTGGTACATCTGATGTAAAACATACTGAATGCAAGTTTGTGTCGTCTGGTAAGGAATTGTGTTATGAACATCAGACTGTTAATAAACTCAATATGGTGTAACTGGAATGCCTGTTAACAGTATAGTATGGGTGAGAATTGGGGTAGATACACCTGATCAGGGGTAGATGTAGGTATGGTAAGATACAACACTGTGGGCAACTGGGACAGGTAAGATACAACACTGTGGGCAGCTATGACAGGTAAGATACAACACTGTGGGCAACTATGACAGGTAAAATATACCAACACTGTAGTTATTTGAAGTTGTTACATCTGATGTAAAACATACTGAATGCAAGTTTGTGTCCTCTGGTAAGGAATTGTGTTATGAACATCAGACTGTTAATAAACTCAATATGGTGTAACTGGAATGCCTGTTAACAGTATAGTATGGGTGAGAATTTGGGTAGATACACCTGATCAGGGGTAGATGTAGGTATTGTTATTATAAAGGGAACAGAAACCTTTTGACGACTGTAAACAGATATCCAGACTGATTTGTATTTATATTGTGGACTTGTAATTTGTGATTTGTATTTATATTGTGGACTTGTAATTTGTGATGATTGATATGATGTTACACTGGTATGGTTAATATCTACATACCTTGTTTGTGTGTCACAGGACTACTGGAGAATGTCTGAAGTGTATCTATAACACTGCTGGCTTCAGCTGTGGAGCATGTCTGCCTAGTTACTATGGCAATGCACTTGCTGAGGAAAAGGGTGATTGTCAAGGTAAGGATCTCCTTGTCTACAACCTTAGGTCACATGATCTTGGTCTCTTATTGAAAGGTGTTATACAAATAATTATGTAGAGATTGATGGTTGATTAGAAAAGCTTGTTATTTTGCAAGTTACTTAGTTTTAAAAATCAAAGTTTTGAGCTCAAACAAATATTGTGGTTAACAATTTGGGAAATAATGTTTTTGACCAAATGTTGTTTTCACTGATAAAGGGATATAATTCATGTTGTACATTTAAATCCTACTGGTTGTTTTCCAGCCTGCAACTGTTACCCGCCAGGCACCTTAAATACTGGGGGACTATTGTGTGACCCCACCATTGGACAGTGCCCATGTCTGCCCCACGTCGTTGGACGCAAGTGTGATGCCTGTGAGGCTGGCTACTGGAACTTGGACAGTGGAGCAGGTAAATAGTCTTTGTGTGGTCACAGAAAATGTACTTGTTCATATTATTACCATGTAACATCTTGTGTTGTAAAGCACTGTGTTTTTGCACAATTTTGCTAATTGTGCAAAATTGTGGGTAATTTTGCAAATTATATAGGGTACTATATAATTCTTATTTTGATAATAACCTGTACTCATTGACATCACAGTACAGTATCTAACTAACCAATCACAAATCTTGTCCACAAACTTTTTACTACAGACTGGTACATGTCATCGGGTGTAGAGCCAACGCCTGGTACATGGATGCAGACACTCATGAACCCCATAATAGTTAAAGTTCATATTTACACTATAGTATGGTAACATCAAAATCTAAGATATTGGTGGTCAACAGTCAAGATTTAATAGTCTAGGTCACACTTGACAACTTTTGTGTATAAGGTATCTTATGAACAAGCCCTCAACAAAGTTAATTTATATTTACAAGAGGTAATATTGAGTTCTACACATTATTAGATTTTGGTGGTCATCATTCATCATTAAAGAATAGCATTAAAGGAGCCTTGTTTTACTACAGGGTGTGAGGCGTGTGACTGTCTGCCAATGGGCTCCCTCAACAATACATGTCAAGTGGCAGGAGGACAGTGTCAGTGTAAGCCAGGAGTGACAGGACGCCAGTGTGACCAGTGTAAACCGTTCTACTATGGCTTCTCTGATACAGGCTGTACAGGTAAGATGACCAGTTTAAACCGTTCTCCAATTGTTTTTCTGACACAGGCTCTGGAGACCAGGTAAAGTTGTACTAGCATCAATATCAACACTTGTTTCTTTCTTTGAGGTTGTCTGCCAATTTTGACATCTACACTTGGAATTAAGATCTTGAATACACTGCTGTGCACTTCATGTTCAATTACTGTGTATGTACTGTAGGCTGGAAATTTCATGTTTACTTTGTGTATTACAGCCTGTAACTGCGACCCTGAGGGCTCTACCAACCTGCAATGTGATAATTCTGGCAATTGTGCCTGTCAACCCAACATTGAGGGTCAGCACTGTGACCGCTGTAAGGAGAATAAGTACAACATTACGGCTGGCTGTTTAGGTAAGGGACATAACTCTTCAATCAGATTCATAGTGGAGTTGAATACAGTTATGAGGTAGAGGGAATGTGAAACACATTGGAGGATAAAGAAGAAACCCTTGCATAACTTCCCAAATAAGGTGAAATGTTTGTAATAATAGTTCCACTGTTGAGCTGTTTAATTTGTGGGTTCCTGTTGCTGTATTTAGATGATTTTAGACTGCTATACACATGCTTAATTTCGTGGGGTTTGTCAGTGTTGTACTGCAACCAAACATTCTCAAAGGATTTTGCTCATATGTTTGATTTTATTTACCTGTACTTGTTAATTGTCAGATTGCCCTGCCTGTTACTCCTTGGTCCAGGACCGTGTCAATGCTCACCGTAATAAACTCACTGATCTGAACAACCTCATCATCAATATTGGCAACAACCCCAGTGCCTTCAATGACACCGAGTTCCTGAGCTACATGAATCAGGTCAATGACTCTGTTATCATGCTGTTGGATGAAGCCAGGGGAGCAGTCAGTAAGTGTACATGGATATATACCTGGGGAGATTAATTGTCTAGGGACTGTAAGCCAGGGGAGCAGTTAGTAAGTGTACATGGATATATACCTGGGGAGATTAATTGTCTAGGGACTGTAAGCCAGGGGAGCAGTCAGTAAGTGTACATGGATATATACCTGGGGAGAAGTAATTTTGTTTGCTGTATAGGATATGGATATATTCCCTTTAGAAGCATGGAAATAGTCTGAGGAGGGCATGATATATACAGGTCTATTTTCGTGTATAGAACAAACAGTTGTGTTCTTTTAAATGTAATACTTTAAGGTGCAAAGTCAAGTGGACCATTTAAATGTATTGAGAGTGTGGATGGAAACCCATGCATTAATTATATTCACACCATAAGTGTCCTGTAGTATAAGCAAGATACAAGAGCAATTCTTACGCCAGAAAAAAAAGAGCCTTTAAGTATGTTTGATTGTCCTGTGTTTTACCTCAAGGTGACAATGGAACTTTGGGGCGCCAGTTGTCTGAGCTGAAGATGGCTGTTAAAGACGTTTTAGCGAGTGCTGGAGTTATTACGTCCAACATCCACTCCGCAGAGCAGTCATCTCGGGACAGCGAACAGGATGTGCAGCAGGCACAGAATGCTATCAACCGTGCAGAGCAGACTCTGCAGGCTGCCGAGACCTACATCGACATGGAGGGTCGCAAGGCACTTCAACAGGCACAGAACGCCCTCAACCAGTTTGGGCAGCAGTCCGCTCAGATGACAGAAATTGCCAACAAGGCTCGCAATGAGTCAATGAAGTAAGATCAAGAAGTTTGAAGGAAAATAACGTTTTAAATAGGATTGCTGGACACAGATTTTCTTTTCAATTTTTACAGGAAAGTGAGGTGAAAGTTCAGCATGACCTTGAATGTTATTTTAATTCATTGATACTTCATGCATAACAATCTGCTTATATCTGATTTATATCTTTCCCATATCAACAAAAGAAAAGCAACATTGTGAGAACTTAAAGCTGTTGAAAGTGTTCACATTTGTGGTAAATAAGTGTCCTATTAAGAGATATAGGGGTATACAAAACAGATTTTGGAAAGTGTATCATTAAAACAAACTTGAATCTGTGTAAAAGAGAGAGACATTGTCAGCAAACATGCAAGTAAACAAAGGTTTGAGTTGGTGTTTTATATGTTCATTAAACATTTCAGACAAAAGGAAGAGGCAGATAGGATTGAAGGTATAGCCAACATGGCTCTTAACATGTCCCGTGATGCCCGGCGTATGGCTGAGGAAACCTTGAGGGTACCCGACCAGACAAAGGACGACATTCAACGCCTTGCTCAACAGTGAGAAAACAATCCTTATAAATAGCTGTTATAAACAGTTACTTTGTGAGATGAAGCCCCCCTTATTACAAATATTTTATAAGCAGTTTGGGCATTTTTATGCCACTGCCACATTAATGGACAGGGTATTTTGTACCAGAAGTATTTACCTTTCCCATTGTCTGTCCAGTGTGTAACATCATGGTTTAGATTGTGCATTCTTATGAGATGAAACACGGCATTTGATTGGTCAATCAAAAAGAATTGCGACAGTAAAACCATGATATACCGTCCGCAAATTTCTCAGTTGCATATGAATCCCGGATGGCGATTGTTAATGATGTTAATGACCCAGACTGACAGTGACACGTCATGAAATTGATTATTCATGACGTCACGAACAATAGCGTGACCCTGAAAGGTCAACGTAACTACACCTCACTTTGAATATTTTGACATCACCAATCCAGAGCAGAGAGACCCAGAATTTGATGAAAAAACACTCAAAAATATCTTGAAACCTTCTGGTGGTTTTGGTTGATATGAATTAAGATGGGGATAACCCTACTGTATTTTGAAATTTGCGGCGGTATATGAAGATTATACTGTTGCATACATCCGTTTTACTGGCTCCGCTCTGCCTCGCAAGTTAAACTCAATTTCCGACAGTATAATCACAATATACTGTCGCAAATTTCAAAGTACTGTAGGGTTATCCCCTAATTTAGCTTCATTTCTATCAAAGCAGGAGCAGGTCCATTTATACGTTTTATGAATTGGTCACTGATTTGACAGTCAATCTTGTTACTTTCCAGAAAAAGAAAATTGGTGTTTCTGTTACAGAAAAACTTATGCTGTTTGAAACTTGTTTTGAGTGTGCTGTTTGTGTTACAGATACGAGGAGACAGACCGTCTGTACAATAGGACAAAATTGTTTGCTGACAATGTAAAGGAGCGTGCCAAGGAAGCATACGAGGAGGCTCTGGAACTGTACGCAGATGCAACCAAGATCAAACTTCCCAACATAGATGTACCTACACTCATCGGCAACACCTCACAGATAAAGGCAGAGGTGAGTCATAGGCAAAACACTCAAACGTACTGGTTAACATGTATACATAACTTAATGAGACACTTCCCCATCAAAGCTATATATGATGAGAACATGGTAAGAAATCCCTTTATTAATCAATATTACATCTACAGATTATTTCCGTCTTGTGTTGTCCAGTCAGATCTGCACTCAAACTTACACTTACTAGATGGGGAACCTATTTGTCAATGTTTTTATTTTGGTAGTAAGTTATAATGATGTTTGTTATACAGGCCAGTGATATCAAGGAGGAGGCTGAACGTCTCATCCAACAGAACAAACAGCTCCTTGAGGATGTCGACAGTCAGAAAGGCGAGGCCAATGCTCTTCTCAAGAGTGTGATGGGTAAACAACAGGTGAGTGACTGTGTGTGTTTGTACAATAAACAACAGGTGAGTGTCTGTTTGTACAATAAACAACAGGTACGTGACTTGTGTGTTTGTACAATAATAAACAACAGGTGAGTGTCTGTGTTTGTACAATGTTTGTACAATAAACAACAGGTGAGTGTCTGTGTGTTTGTACAATAAACAACAGGTGAGTGACTTGTGTGTTTGTACAATAATAAACAACAGGTGAGTGTCTGTGTTTGCACACAGACAGATGCGTGTCAAAGTGGGTGATATAATTATTGAAACTGTACACAATGCCAAACTACTGGGAGTTTTTATTGACAGCTGTTTGTCATGGAATGTACATATTGAATATGTATGTAAAGAAAATTGGAGTGTTAAAACGAATCAGAAAATTCATGTCCCAAGAAATGTCCAAAATGGTGTATATGACTATTGTTTTACCTCATTTTATGTACTGTTCTTCAGTATGGAGCAATCCTACAAATGTGTCGCTTAAGGAAAGAATATTTAAACTTCAAAAAAGAGCAGCAAGAGTAATTCTAAATATAAGAGAAATTCGTACACCAACTTCGTTACTTTTAAAGACTTTAAACTGGATGCCTATTCACGATTTTTATACTTTTAGAAAATGTGTTCTAACTTATAAAATCCTTAACGACCAGGCTCCAGGATTTTTAAAACAAAATTTATTTACCTATGTAACCCAGATTTCCACAAGAACCACAAGATCTTCTGCGAAGAACCAGCTCTATATCCCCAAGTGTAGAACAAGTTTTTACAAAAATTCTTTTAGATACACTTGTACTCTTTTATGGAATACTTTGGAAGAAACCATACGAACCACAACAAATGTTCTGGCTTTTAAAAAGGCATATCTGGCCAATTATTTTAAAAATACTAGATCATGAATACCATGTGTTACCGGCGGACCAAGTAGGTAGGGGATTCCCAATCACTGGGAAACCAGGTACTATATGGTATATACTATATGTATATTTTAAAGTACAATATTTGAAATTATCCCTATGGTTCTGTTTAATATAATTTCCAGAGATAATCCTTATATTACCCTGTGATAAATATATGTATGTATTGACTTGTAATACACTGTGATATTTTCTAATGTTCTAAATGCAATTCTGTGATATTTAGTGATACAATATAATAGGTTGTCTTAATAATGTATTGTACTATTTAACTGCTTTTTCTATTTTATTGTATGTCATATGTCTCTGTATGCGTGATGTGCTGTTGTTTTATGTATGTATATATAATGTGTTTTACAGGGCCATATTGTAAACTAGATGAAAATCTAAATATGTTACCCTGTCTAAATAAATAAATAAAAGAATTTATTATTACAATGTTTGTACAATAAACAACAGGTGAGTGACTTATGTGTTTGTACAATAAACAACAGGTGAGTGTCTGTGTGTTTGTACAATAAACAACAGGTGAGTGTCTATGTTTGTACAATAAACAACAGGTGAGTGTCTGTGATTGTACAATAAACAACAGGTGAGTGTCTGTGTATGTTTGTACAATAAACAACAGGTGAGTGTCTGTGTTTGTACAATGTTTGTACAATGAACAACAGGTATGTGACTTGTGTGTTTGTACAATGAACAACAGGTACGTGACTTGTGTGTTTGTACAATAAACAACAGGTACGTGACTTGTGTGTTTGTTCAATAAACAACAGGTGAGTGACTGTTTGTACAATGTTTGTACAATAAACAACAGGTACATGACTTGTGTGTTTGTACAATAAACAACAGGTACATGACTTGTGTGTTTGTACAATAAACAACAGATGAGTATCTGTGTGTGTTTGTACAATACACAACAGGTGAGTGTCTGTGTTTGTACAATGTTTGTACAATAAACAACAGGTATATGACTTGTGTGTTTGTACAATAAACAACAGATGAGTGACTTGTGACTTTCCTTCACAAGAGCTCATTTCTTAACATATGTAGATTGTACAGGTAATTATACTACTGTGTAATATGTGTTTCAGAGAATTGATGAACTTTTGGCTGAGGTGGACGCTGCCAGAGCCATGGCCAGAGAGGCTGTAGACAAGGCAGAAAAGACACTCCAGGAGGCTAACAACACCCTTCAGACACTGCTAGGTATGTAGTGGGCTAACAACACCCTACAGACACTGTTAGGTAGGTAGTGGGCTAACAACACACTACAGACACTGTTAGGTAGGTAATGGGCTAACAAACCCTACAGACACTGTTAGGAAGGTAGTGGGCTAACAACATACTACAGACACTATAAGGTAGATAATGGGCAAACAACACCCTACAGACACTGTTAGGTAGGTAATGGGCTAACAAACCCTACAGACACTCTTAGGTAGGTAGTGGGCTAACAACACGCTACAGACATTGTTAGGTAAGTAGTGGGCTAACAAACCCTACAGACACTGTTAGGTAGGTAGTGGGCTAACAACACGCTACAGACATTGTTAGGTAGGTAGTGGGCTAACAAACCCTACAGACACTGTTAGGTAGGTAGTGGGCTAATAACACCCTACAGACACTGTTAGGTAGGTAGTGGGCTAACAACACCCTACATACACTGTTAGGTAGATAGTTGGCTAACAACACCCTACAGACACTGTTAGGTAGGTAGTGGGCTAACAACACCCTACATACACTGTTAGGTAGGTGGTGGGCTAACAACACCCTACATACACTGTTAGGTAGGTAGGGGGCTAACAACACCCTACATACACTGTTAGGTAGGTAGTGGGCTAACACACCCTACATACACTGTTAGGTAGGTAGTGGGCAAACAACACCCTACAGACACTGTTAGGTAGGTAGTGGGCTAACAACACCCTAAGGATGTACTGATGTAGTCACAAATAATGATGTAGAGATGTACTATTTTGTCCCCAGCCTTTGATAAGGATGTACTGATGTAGTCACTAATAATGAGGCAGAGATGTACTATTGTGTCTCCAGCCTGTGATACGGATGTACTGATGTGGTCACTAATAATGAGGTAGAGATGTACTATTGTGTCTCCAGCCTGTGATACGGATGTACTGATGTGGTCACTAATAATGAGGTAGAGATGTACTATTTTGTCCCCAGCCTTTGATAAGGATGTACTGATGTAGTCACTAATAATGAGGTATAGATGTACAATTGTGTCTCCAGCCTGTGACAAGGGTGTACTGATGTAGTCACTAATAATGAGGTCGAGATGTCCTAGTGTGTCTCCCGCCTGTGATAAGGGTGTACTGATGTAGTCACTAATAATGAGGCAGAGATGTACTATTGTGTCTCCAGCCTGTGACAAGGATGTACTGATGTAGTCACTAATAATGAGGTATAGATGTACAATTGTGTCTCCAGCCTGTGACAAGGGGGTACTGATGTAGTCACTAATAATGAGGTAGAGATTTACTATTTTGTCTACAGCCTTTGACAAGGGTGTAGTGATGTAGTCACTAATAATGAGGTAGAGATTTACTATTTTGTCTACAGCCTTTGACAAGGGTGTTCTGATGTAGTCACTAATAATGAGGTAGAGATTTACTATTTTGTCTACAGCCTTTGACAAGGGTGTAGTGATGTAGTCACTAATAATGAGGTAGAGATTTACTATTTTGTCTACAGCCTTTGACAAGGGTGTAGTGATGTAGTCACTAATAATGAGGTAGAGATTTACTATTTTGTCTACAGCCTTTGACAAGGGTGTTCTGATGTAGTCACTAATAATGAGGTAGAGATGTACAATTGTGTCTCCAGCCTGTGACAAGGGGGTACTGATGTAGTCACTAATAATGAGGTAGAGATGTACTATTTTGTCCCCAGCCTTTTACAAGGATGTACTGATGTAGTCACTAATAATGATGTAGAGATGTACTATTTTGTCCCCAGCCTTTGCTAAGGATGTACTGATGTAGTCACTAATAATGAGGCAGAGATGTACTATTGTGTCTCCAGCCTGTGATACGGATGTACTGATGTGGTCACTAATAATGAGGTAGAGATGTACTATTTTGTCTACAGCCTTTGACAAGGGTGTTCTGATGTAGTCACTAATAATGAGGTAGAGATTTACTATTTTGTCTACAGCCTTTGACAAGGGTGTTCTGATGTAGTCACTAATAATGAGGTAGAGATGTACTATTTTGTCCCCGGCTTTTGACAAGGATGTACTGATGTAGTCACTAATAATGAGGTAGAGATGTACTATTTTGTCTCCAGCCTGTGATAAGGATGTACTGATGTAGTCACTAATAATGATGTAGAGATGTACTATTTTGTCCCCAGCCTGTGACAAGGATGTACTGATGTAGTCACTAATAATGACGTAGAGATGTACTATTGTGTCTCCAGCCTGTGACAAGGGTGTACTGATGTAGTCACTAATAATTAGGTAGAGATGTACTATTTTGTCTACAGCCTTTGACAAGGGTGTAGTGATGTAGTCACTAATAATGAGGTAGAGATGTACTGTTGTGTCTCCAGCCTGTGACAAGGATGTACTGACGTAGTCACTAATAATGAGGTAGAGATGTACTATTGTGTCCCCAGCCTGTGACAAGGATGTACTGATGTAGGCACTAATAATGAGGTAGAGATGTACTATTTTGTCTACAGCCTTTGACAAGGGTGTTCTGATGTAGTCACTAATAATGAGGTAGAGATGTACTATTGTGTCCCCAGCCTGTGACAAGGATGTACTGATGTAGGCACTAATAATGAGGTAGAGATGTACTATTTTGTCTACAGCCTTTGACAAGGGTGTAGTGATGTAGTCACTAATAATGAGGTAGAGATGTACTGTTGTGTCTCCAGCCTGTGACAAGGATGTACTGACGTAGTCACTAATAATGAGGTAGAGATGTACTATTATGTCCCCAGCCTTTGATAAGGGTGTACTGATGTAGTCACTAATAATGATGTAGAGATGTACTATTATGTCCCCAGCCTTTGATAAGGGTGTACTGATGTAGTCACTAATAATGATGTAGAGATGTACTATTTTGTCTCCAGCCTTTGAAAAGGGTGTACTGATGTAGTCACTAATAATGAAGTAGAGATGTACTATTTTGTCCCCAGCCTTTTACAAGGATGTACTGATGTAGTCACTAATAATGACGTAGAGATGTACTATTATGTCTCCAGCCTGTGACAAGGGTGTACTGATGTAGTCACTAATAATGAGGTAGAGATGTACTATTTTGTCTACAGCCTTTGACAAGGGTGTAGTGATGTAGTCACTAATAATGAGGTAGAGATGTACTATTGTGTCTCCAGCCTGTGACAAGGGTGTACTGATGTAGTCACTAATAATGATGTAGAGATGTACTACTATGTCCCCAGCCTTTGATAAGGGTGTACTGATGGAGTCACTAATAATGATGTAGCGATGTACAATTCTGTCTCCAGCCTTTGACAAGGATGTACAGAACGTCCCCGGCTTTTGACAAGGATGTAATGATGTAGTCACTAATAATGAGGTAGAGATGTACTATTTTGTTCCCAGCCTTTGATAAGGATGTACTGATGTAGTCACTAATAATGATGTAGAGATGTACTATTTTGTCCCCAGCCTGTGACAAGGATGTACTGATGTAGGCACTAATAATGAGGTAGAGATGTACTATTTTGTCCCCGGCTTTTGACAAGGATGTACTGATGTAGTCACTAATAATGATGTAGAGATGTACTATTATGTCCCCAGCCTTTGATAAGGGTGTACTGATGTAGTCACTAATAATGATGTAGCGATGTACAATTCTGTCTCCAGCCTTTGACAAGGATGTACAGAACAGTAAGGGCGAGGCAGATGCTGCCCTACAGAAGATCCCACAGATACAAGACATGATCCAGGAGGCGGAGAACAAGACCAAGGAGGCCAGCGATGCCTTGACTGGGGCAGAGAATGACGCAAACATGGCATTGTCCCTGGCTAGGCAGGCTCAAGACACAGCACAGAATGCTTCACAGGTAAATACACTGCCATCACAGCACCACCTTGGGATCCCAACCAAATGTGTCTGTTAAAGTCATACCTTCAATTAATTTGGGGTTATTCTGACAAGTATGGTACATTTTACCTTTTTATTGTTCTTCCTGTTTGCTAATCATTTGTGTTGGGTGACTACAGTACTTTGTGTTCCTGCAGGCTGCCAGCAGGATCCGGGCAGAGGCGGATGTAACCAAGGACCGTGCCATGGATCTCAAAGACGAGGCCGATAATCTGGCTGGACAAGTGAACACCACAGATGTCAAACTGACCAACCTGGAGAGTCAGGCTGATGAGGATTCCAGGCTGATAGACGAGGTAGGGCCAAGGTCAATCCAACCGAAATCAGAATGTATCGGTAACAAATGTCAAGGTCAGGATTAAAAATCGACGAGGTAGTGTCAAGGTCAAGCAAACCAAAATCAGAATGTATCGGTTACAAATGTCAAGGTCAGGATTAAAAATTGACGAGATAGTGTCAAGGTCAAACAAACCAAAATCAGAATGTATCGGTTACAAATGTCAAGGTCAGGATTAAAAATTGCGAGGTAGTGTCAAGGTCAAACAAACAAATACAAGAGAATTGTTCAGACTCCCCTTTTCATAATTTACAACAATGCCACAAAATTGACAGGAGAAACAGTGAAAGAACGACTAGTTGATCATGGCTAGTTGTCCCAGCAGAATGTGTTTACACTGTTTCCTGTTCTATGTTTATAGGCCTTGCAGAAGGCAGCTCAAGCAAAGAACGATGCCAAAAATGTGTCTGAACAGGTGATTGCTGCCCTGGGCACAGTACAGAACATCTCACGCCTCCTTGGTAAGTCTTGTACATTTATAGAATTCAGTGTAAGTTCCGATACAAGATTCATATGATGACATGGTAACAGACATTATTTGGGTAATAATCTATATGTTACTATATCACCAGGGTAATGACTTGATTGTTCTTGTGTTACAGGACAACTTGATGATGTTGACATCGCCAAACTTGATGCCCTTCAGGCTGCACTTGACAATGCTGAGCAGGAGCTGATTGATGCAGACCTTGACAACCAATACATGAAACTAGAGAAAGCTAATGATGAAATTAAACGATTGGTGGCCGAGCATGAGAATGATTACAACATGCTGAAGGAAGACGTGGACAATATAGAACAAATCAAACTCTCCCTGCCTGACGGCTGCTTCAAAAACATTGATATTGAGTCTCCACCTGGCCAATAATTATGATAAATAGATAGGTCAGAGGTCAGACTAGAGAGAACAGGTCAGTGGGTGATGGTCAAATGTAGGATGAAAAATCAAATGTTATTGGATCAAAATCAATCAACAGTAAAAGTTTGTGGTTAGTATTGATAGACAAGGATTATTGATGGAAACCTCCTCCTCCATTTTATTTAGTTATGACAATCCGGTGATATATACAGGCTTACCAATCATCACTCAGCACACAACCTGGAACTAGGAAACACTGTCTGTGGTCCAGGCCTCATCATCCTTGACCCAGGGAACACCCTTCGTCTTGGGAAACATCCTCTGTGGTCCAGGAAAGTCATCCCTGGCCATGGGAAACTCCATCCTTGGTCCGGGAGCCATTTTGGCTGAGGAAAAACACCATTCCTGGCCTAAAAGTCTCCCTTTCTGCCTGTGTTCCTAATTACAGGTCATCAATACTAACCACAGCAAGTATAGGGTATGTGCAAATACTCGACCAAAGATGGTTTTAGAACTTGTTCGCTCAATAGCGAGATGTGAATGATAGTGTTTCGTCATACATGTAGCAGTAGAGATAACTATGTAGGTGACAAATCTGTCCTCTCTCTAAGTCTTATGCTCTACCATGATTAATGTATCGGGGTGAGGAAGTGTATAGAAATGATGCCTTATCAATATACAGGTGTTAAGTCTTACCTGATCGGTATCCAGGTGAAAAAGTCTATAATGTGTGGCGCTGCCAGATGTACCTGGTATGTGTCCAAGTGAGAAAGTGTCGATGATGTTTTGAGTTTTAGTGAGGATGTTTTGATTGTCTAGATCACTCAACAGTCACCTGTCCTTAACTTTCTTGTACGTGTCTGTCTGCCTTTGGACATCAGAAACAGAAGTACAGATACACTAACGTAATCTACCTGGTGTTCATTAAATTTAAGTAGTGTTTAGAATCTCTAGATGACTTGAGTAACATTTTAACTCAATAAAATTATATGGAAATCCATTTTATGATATTTAATTTTATTTCATGTTGAATTTTTAAATAAATTTGTTAACCGAGGGCGAGAAAATATACAAAATTGTAATAATTGTGAATTTTGTCAAGTATGACATGACATATGGTATATTTAACTTGTAGTTTCTGTCCGACACAGGTTGTCGTGTTTACTTTCACTTTCCTAGTATTTATTATGGTTAGGTTGTGGCCAGCAATGACCAAGTTTTCTAGTGTAACTGTAGGTTGTTAGCGACACATTCATCGGCTGTGTGGAACCTCTTTGATATTAGTGTTGTTTACTGCATTTACAATTATCCTGTCAACCTTGAAAAACGGTAATGCACATGCCGTTATCAATTGTTCCAATATATGTCAAGGGGGAGACCGCATTTTTTCATTTCAATGGTACTACAAAATATTTGGCAAGAAATTAATTTTATGAAATATTGTTCAAAAAGCAATTTTACAAAAAAAATAGGAATAGGAAAAATCAAATTTTAGATGCAAGGGATGTAAACATTATAAAACCATAAGTTATAATTGATAGGTAAGTAGGAATAACCCTTCTAAATATAAAATGGTATTGAAAACCAACCACATTAAACTTTGAAAGCCTTCATGTGAACCCTTATTCTATCGAAACTCTACCTAATATTTTGTGGTTCTGTTGTATTTCTGTTGTCCTAGGATTTCATATGGTGCTATATAAAATATGTACATACACAAACTCATAACTCTTTTGTATCGTTTGTACGGGTTTGACTGTGTTGGACCTGTAGTATCGACTGTTGATGTTATTTCCTACTGTATACTTTATCTGTACACAAACACAGGTGAATGAGAGTCTATTTCTACTTTTCTTATCTTCTCTATTACATTTTTATGACGATACAAAAATGCTTACGTTTTCAATTTTTATTCAAATTTTACCAAAGAAATCTGTCATGTTGACGTATTTTATATAAATATATTTAACTTTATTTTGAATTTAGAAGTTTGTGTTCGACTACGATGTGTGATATTGGTGTTGAATTTTAATCCTGGACAAATATGCAGTTGTATCTTATCTTTGATCATTGTTTCGTTCAGTGTAAAAGGAAGGAGTTGTGGTAATTTATTATCGATGTAAAGTCCTTTGGAACAGAACTTGGCTACAGCCCTCTTATATCACAGCTGTTGCAACTGTATTGGAGGGTAAGCTCTCTAGAACACAGTATGCCACCAGCTGTTTAAGGGTAATTCTTAAAACAAGACATTGCATCTGTGTATGTCCTCTAGATGTAAATGTTTAACTGTGGTATCTTATCTAGATATATATAGCTGACCTATTTTACTTGTGTACAGACATGACTGAATATTGTCACATTACTGTCTAAATTCATAATCGGCTGCTGAAAACAAAATATTCATAGTTTTTTACTTCTTTCTGAGTGATTTTTGTCAATTTTACCTAGATATGCATAATTGATTGATATTTGTAGAAAAAAGGACAATTATTTTTCATATGTTTTTTTTATCATGATTGATGTTTGTAGAAAAGAAATCATTGATTCATGTTTTTTTTATTTGATTTGCATGTCATTTTCATGTACTTTTAGCTTTCTTTTTCTTAGATGTTAGTAGAATGTTATGAAGAATTTTCAAACAATCTTTAATGACATTTTATTTGTGCCAAATATTTAAGCCATTTGATAAGGTGTCTGTAGCTGAGATACGACTGCCTTTTGATGAAACTTAAAATTTTAATTGTTTTTGGATAGACAGAATTTTTGTCCATCAAATTTGATTCACACTCAAAATCTGGACCAACAATTGACACCAATAGGATAGATGTCATCTTTTGATGAAAAAAAATTAAATTTGATTTGAGGCAAAGTAACTTTGATAATTGCAACATGTTCTGTATAAACTTTTCCATGAAGAACAGGATAAAGAAGTTGCATCTTCTTAAACATATCATTGAATTATATACACCTTTGTATGTTAGGTCAGTCGAAGTATACTGTAGTCTGTTATATATACTCATGTACAGTACTCCGATGTAAGTGTTCATTTTATGTACATTGATACATACTTAATTGTACACTATGTAACGGTACATGGTAGAATAATGTAATTGTACAATTAGTTTACACTCTACAATTAATGTATTACTTGTATTTTTGCAAATTGTACAACAATATGTATAACTTGTTATAACTTTGTATTTGTACACATTGTACAATTGTATGTATAACATGTTATAACATTGTATTTGTACAATTAAATGTATAACTTTTTATAACATTGTATTTGTACAATTAAATGTATAACTTGTTATAACATTGTATTTGTACAATTAAATGTATAACTTGTTATAACTTTGTATTTGCACAATTAAATGTATAACTTGTCATAGCATTGTATTTGTACAATTAAATGTATAACTTGTTATAACATTGTATTTGTACAATTAAATGTATAATTTTGTACACATTGTACATGTATAACTTGTTATAATTTTGTAAATGTGTACACTGTACAATTAAATGTACAACTTGTTATATCTACATGTATGTATGTTTGTACACACTTGTATACCCTGCTGTAAATTACATGCTTGATAAATCCTATACGTGGCCTTGTATGTGTTGTTGGGCCAAGTTGCATTGTCTCCATTTGTACCATCCTAGACAAGACCAGACCATACCTTCGATGGCTGTTGTCCTTCCCTTTTATTTCAATTGGAAAATAGTTCAATATGTTGTGATTCTAAACAAACCTATTACGGTCCCAAATTAGCAATGCTCTCTATGCAGTCTTGTAATGCCATTATCAATAAAACTTTTCAAGAAAAAAATATATCATTGTCTTATTGTGTTTTCAATTCTGGGCAGTGTCAACTTGTGAGAACAAGATCCAGTTCCAAAGTTCACTCATGCTTCTGTTCATTCTTCCCGAAAAATAAACATGTAACAGATTTATTAATTTATCCTCTTGCAACTTATTTTGGAGGGGATATACTGTTCTGTTTTCGTATTGTGTACTTCTGCTAACTTTTTGTCATCAATCTTGTGACCTCATTTATCAAACTTCATACAATAGTATACTATGAGAATACCTTGAATGATTTCGTGTTTCGGGGTGTTGCAGCTAAGGTCATGGTCACTGTTACTCTTAATAGACATTATTGTAGTCATCACTCCAGTATTTCTAAACTATCTTGAAGAAAAGTAAAGTTTTAACATGTGGATAGATTTTGAAATATTCAGATGCAAGTTGCTAGATTGATGCCTTACTTAGTATTGTTGACCAGATGAAAGATAAAACAAACAGACTGCAGTGTTACAGAGGGGGTTTGTTATACTTTTTAGTGTTAGTGTGGGGTTTCTATTTGAGAAACGAAGCGGTGCATGGTCATAGTGGAACCTTTATATAAGTTCTTTGAAACCTTTATGTATCGCTGTCATGGCTTTAGTGAACTTTTCTGACATCGCCCTGTACTGACCTGGAGTCCAAATATAAATTCACTAAAACCTCCAGGATGTATCACTGACCTGGTGGCGGAGTCCTAATAGAAATTCACTAAAACCTCCAGGATCAATCACTGACCTGGTGGTGGAGTCCTAATAGAAATTCACTAAAACCTCCAGGATCAATCACTGACCTGGTGGTGGGGTCCTAATAGAAATTCACTAAAACCTCCAAGATGTATATCACTGGCCTGGTGGTGGAGTCCTAATAGAAATTCACTAAAACCTCCAGGATCAATCACTGGCCTGGTGGTGGCGTCATAATAGAAATTCACTAAAACCTCCAGGATGTATCACTGGCCTGGTGGTGGAGTCCTAAAAGAAATTCACTAAAACCTCCAAGATGTATATCACTGGCCTGGTGGTGGAGTCCTAATAGAAATTCACCAAAACCTCCAGGATGTACCACTGGCCTGGTGGTGGAGTCCTAATAGAAATTCACTAAAACCTTCAAGATGTATATATCACTGGCCTGGTGGTGGAGTCCCAATAGAAATTCACCAAAACCTCCAGGATGTACCACAGGCCTGGTGGTGGAGTCCTAATAAAAATTCACTAAAACCTCCAGGATGTACCACTGGCCTGGTGGTGGAGTCCTAATAGAAATTCACCAAAACCTCCAGGATGTATCACTGGCCTGGTGGTGGAGTCCTAATAGAAATTCACTAAAACCTCCAGGATGTATCACTGGCCTGGTGGAGGAGTTCTAATAGAAATTCACTAAAACCTCCAGGATGTACCACTGGCCTGGTGGTGGAGTTCTAATAGAAATTCACCAAAACCTCCAGGATGTATCACTGGCCTGGTGGTGGAGTCCTAATAGAAATTCACTAAAACCTCCAGGATGTATCACTGGCCTGGTGGAGGAGTTCTAATAGAAATTCACTAAAACCTCCAGGATGTATCACTGGCCTGGTGGAGGAGTTCTAATAGAAATTCACCAAAACCTCCAGGATGTATCACTGGCCTGGTGGTGGAGTCCTAATAGAAATTCACTAAAACCTCCAGGATGTATCACTGGCCTGGTGGAGGAGTTCTAATAGAAATTCAATTAAACCTCCAGGATGTATCACAGGCCTGGTGGTGGAGTCCTAATAGAAATTCACTAATACCTTCAGGATTTATCGCTAGCCTGGTGTAAGAGAAGTCCTGATCCGAGTTCCTTGAAACCCCTCTAGAACTGTTGTAGACCTGGATGTGATGGATGTCCTGATTGAAGCTCCACGAGGCCAACATCTGCATCGAAAGCCTGATAGCTCTACAGAGCTAAAGTTGGGATGTTAACATTGACATGTAACATAGTATATTGCCAATATCTATTTATGCAATCCTGAATAGTTTCGTTTAGTAGGTGTGTCATGTCTTAATCAAATATGACTACGTGTACACTGCCCTTTTAGGAAGACTTTCGCTGTCACTGAGAATTTCGTTGTTTGTCCTTCAGATATTGTCAATTTTTAGCTCACCTGGCCCGAAGGGCCAAGTGAGCTTATGCCATGGTGCAGCGTCCGTCGTCCGTCCGTCTGTCGTCCGGCGTCCGGCGTCAATATTTTACTTTAAACAACTTCTTCTTAATAACCAAAAGGCCTAGGGTGATGATATTTGGTCAGAAGCAAACTAGGATGAAGGGCTACCAAGTTTGTTCAAATAAATGACCTTCACCTATTTCAAGGTCACAGGAGTCAAATATGTTAAAAACTTTAAACAACTTCTTCTGAATAAACAAAATGCCCAGGGTGATGATTTTTGGCTAGTAACATGCTGGAATGAAGGGCTACCAAGTTTGTTTAAATGAATGGCCTTCGTCCATTTTCAAGGTCACAGGGGTCAATTGTCTTAAAAAATCTTTATACAGCTTCTTCTGAATAACTCAAGAGGCCTAGGCTAATGATATTTGGCCAGTAACATGCTAGAATGAAGGGCTACCAAGTTTGTTCAAATGAATGACCTTTACTTATTTTCAAGGTCACAGGGGTCAAATATGTTTGAAACCTTTAAACAACTTCTTCTCAACAACCGAAAGTCTTAGGATGATGATATTTGCCAAGTAGCATGCTGGGATAAAGGGCAACCAAGTTTGTTCAAATGAATGACCTTTACTTATTTTCAAGGTCACAGGGGTCAAATATGTTTGAAACCTTTAAACAACTTCTTCTCAATAACCAAAAGGCCTAAGATGATGCTATTTGGCCAGTAGCATGCTGTGATGAAAGGCTACCAAGTTTGTTCGAATGAATGACCTTTACTTATATTCAAGGTCACAGGGGTCAAACATGTTAAAAACTTTAAACGACTTCTTCTGAATAACCAAAATGCCCAGAGTGATGATTTTTGGCTAGTAACATGCTGGAATGAAGGGCTACCAAGTTTGTTCGAATGAATGACCTTTACTTATATTCAAGGTCACAGGGGTCAAATATGTTTGAAACCTTTAAACAACTTCTTCTCAATAACCAAAAGTCTTAGGATGATGATATTTGCCAAGTAGCATGCTGGGATAAAGGGCAACCAAGTTTGTTCAAATGAATGACCTTTACTTATATTCAAGGTCACAGGGGTCAAATATGTTTGAAACCTTTAAACAACTTCTTCTCAATAACCAAAAGTCTTAGGATGATGATATTTGGCAAGTAGCATGCTGGGATAAAGGGCAACCAAGTTTGTTCAAATGAATGACCTTCACCCATATTCAAGGTGACAGGGGTCAAATATGTTAAAAACTTTAAACAACTTCTTCTGAATAACTAAGAAGCCTAGGATAATGATATTTGGCCAGTAACATGCCAGGATAAAGGGCTACCAAGTTTGTTCAAATGAATGACCTTTGTCCATTTTCAAGGTCACATGGGTCAATTGTCTTAAAAAATCTTTATACAGCTTCTTCTGAATAACTCAAGAGGCCTAGGCTAATGATATTTGGCCAGTAACATGCTAGAATGAAGGGCTACCAAGTTTGATTAAATGAATGACCTTCGTCCATTTTCAAGGTCACAGGGGTCAAATATGTTTGAAACCTTTAAACAACTTCTTCTCAATAACCGAAAGTCTTAGGATGATGATATTTGGCAAGTAGCATGCTGGGATAAAGGGCAACCAAGTATATTCAAATGAATGACCTTTACATATATTCAAGGTCACAGGGGCCGATGATATTTGGTTATTAACAGGCTGGGATGAAGGGCTACCAATTTTGTCAAAATGAATGACCTTCGCCCATATTCAAGGTCACAGTGGTCAATATATGTTTAAATCTTTAAATGACTTCTTCTATATAACCAATAGGTCCAGGGTTAAGATATTTTGCCAAAAGCATGCTGGGTTGGAAGACTTTAAACTCTGTTCGACCTAATGTCCTTGTTCGACATTCAAGGTCACAGGCGTCATATGTTTAAATCTTTTAATAGGCTCTTATGAATCAAACACTGATATTCTTCCTGTAGCTGCATTTTAGTCCACTTTTAAGATAACAAGTGTGAGATTAATACCAGGAGAGCGATTCAGGCCAATTGGGCCTCTTGTTATACTTGCAAAATGGTTTCTATTCCAGTGTTGCCTCAATAATTTTGATAATATATTATGAAACAAGAGGCCCAAAGGGCCTGTATCGCTCACCTGAATATGTTTAAAGTAATTGGTATGAAGTAAAGATATAGCACTACATGGTAGGTGCTGTAAGTACATATGAAATTTCAGAAAGATCCATCCAGTACTTGATATAGCAAGAACAAACTTCAAACAGAGCCCCACCCGTATGCCCCTAGGGGGGTCATACCCACCAATTATACAAAATTGAATCCCCTTTGCCTAAGGATGCTCCAGACTAAATAAGGATAAAATCCCTTAATCCCTATGGTCAAAGAAGGATTTTAAAGGTTTTACCTCTATTTCTCCAATTGAGCTCCACCCTTCTGCCCCCTGGGAGACCACACCTACTTCTTATACAAAATTGAGTCCCCTTGGCCCAAGGATGCTCCAGACTGAATTAGGATAAAATCCCTTAATCCCTACGGTAGAAGAAGGATTTTAAAGGTTTTAATTCTATTTCCCCTATTGGGCCCCGCCTCTCTGCCTCCAGGGGGGTCAGACACACCGGTTTATACGAAATTAAGTCCCTTTTGCACAAGGATGCTCCAGACTGAATTAGGATAAAATCCCTTAATCCCGATGGTAGAAGAAGGATTATAAAGGTTTAAACTCTATTTCCCCTATTGGGCCCCGCCCCTCAGGTCCAAGGGGGGCCAAACTCACCGTTTATACAAAATTGGTTCCCCTTAACCCAAGGATGTTCCACACCAAATATGGACCAAATCCTTTCATTCCTACAGAAGAAGGATTTAAAAGAATAATTTGCTATGTTTCCCCTATTGGGCCCGCCCCTCAGGCCCCTGGGGGCCAGACCCTCGGTTTATACAAAATTGGTTCCCATTCACCCAAGGATGCTTCAGACTAAATATGGACCAAATCCTTTCATTCCTACAGAAGAAGAAGGATTTTAAAGAATAATTTGCTATGTTTCCCCTATTGGGCCGTACCCCTCAGGCCCCTGGGGGACCAGACCCTTGGTTTATACACAATTGGATCCCCTTCACCCAAAGATGCTTCAGACTAAAAATGGACCAAATCCTTTCATTTGTACAGAAGAAGTAGTATTTTAAAGAATAATTTGCTATGTTTCCCCTATTGGGCCCAACCCCTCAGGCCCCTGGGGGGCCAGACCCAGGGTTTATACAAAATTGGATCCCCTTCACCCAAGGATGCTTCAGACTAAATATGGACCAAATCCTTTCATTCCTACAGAAGAAGTATTTTTAAAGAATAATTTGCTATGTTTCCCCTATCAGGCCGTACCCCTCAGGCCCCTGGGGGGCCAGACCCACAGTTTATACAAAATTGGATTCCCCTTCACCCAAGGATGCTTCAGACCAAATATGGAACAAATCCTTTCATTCCTACAGAAGAAGAAGGATTTTAATGAATAATTTGCTATGTTTCCCATCTTTGGCCCTGTCCCTCAGGCCCCTGGCGGGCCAGAGCCATGGTTTATACCAAATTGGTTCCCATTCACCCAAGGATGCTTCAGACCAAATATGGAACAAATCCTTTCATTCCTACAGAAGAAGAAGGATTTTAAAGAATAATTTGCTATGTTTCCCCTATTGGGCCCCGCCCCCTCAGGCACCTGGGGGGCCAGACCCTTGGTTTATACAAAATTGGATCCCCTTCACCCAAGGATGCTTCAGACTAAATATGGACCAAATCCTTTCATTCCTACAGAAGTAGTATTTTAAAGAATAATTTGCTATGTTTCCCCTATTGGGCCCCGCCCCTCAGGCCCCTGGGGGGCCAGACCCACTATTTATACAAAATTGGTTCTTCTTCACCCAAGGATGCTCCACACCAGATTTTGTTAAAATCCGCTCAGTGGTTCATGACTAGTAGTGTAAAGTTGACGGACAACAGACGATGGACGACGGATGCAGGACGAGGGACGAGGGACGACGGACGCTACGGTATGGCATAAGCTCCTTCGGACCAGGTGAGCTAACAAAAACTACACCAAATCTACATACGAGACCCTAGTTATCATGCTATAATTAAATTTAACCTTTGACCCCTGAAACTATACAAAAGAAGCACATTAACCCATCTTTCCCATTTTCAAACAAACTGTCAACAATAAAACGTCTACTGTAGCGGAATCCTTGGTGTTGATGCTCCTTTGTTTGCTTAATTGAATTTATGTAATGGATAATGACCGAAACCTGGGATTTCTTGTGAATAGAGAAAACAAGAGACTTGGGGCTATTATTTGTAACCCAAGTATCACAGTCAATTTTACTAGAGAGACACAGTGCAATTTGTGTATATTGGTTTTATCTGGAACACTGACAGTATCAATTAATTTGTACGTACGCTTAATACACCAAAAATTAAGTTAATTACCAACTCTTCACTGGTATCTATATTTGAGTTGATATATGGGTTGATGTAAGGGAGATAACAAAGTATGGTAAACACCAGAGTTGTCCCCCTTATACCACACTCTTGATATCTATTATGTACGGTACTGTACATTATGTGTCAATAGCATGTCCATGTTCTAAACACAATCATCAATCTTATATGGTCCGTCACTTGTGAGTAATGATTTTGAATTAAAACTTGGTGTATATTGTCGACAAAATCATATATTTGTTCTTCGTGAATAATTGATATCACATAAAAATTGGGTAGGTCCTAGCCTACAGCTGGCTGTAGGCCTAACAGTGACAGTAAGGACTACAGTGACGTTACTGTAGGCCTAACAGTGACAGTAAGGCCTACAGTTACTGCACTACATTCTTTACGTTACGTTATTTTCACATTTGAGTTCTTCATGCTTATTTGATTTTAACCGATTTTCCAGACTTTCGTTTTATCCCATCTTGATGAAATTCGACACACAGAGGTTTAGCGGAAGCCGTTACAAGACTGTCCCTGTGTCCGGAAATAGCCTCGTGTTGAAAACGAAACTAAAACTAGCCTAACGTGAGACGAAACAGGAGCAGACGATGGAGACGGTTCTATTAGCTGTGATTTTGTTTGGTTTATGTGGGTTTTCGTGTGGCTTTAAAGGAGATTACCAGGAGAGGTTCTTTGACCAGTACATTGACCATTTCAACTTTGCATCTTACGGCAGTAAGACTTACAAGCAACGGTATTTGATACAAGGTAAAACATACTACTTTTGTTAGGTCACAAGATCATGACACATGCAAATATCTAAGTGGGTGACAAAGCATACACTCTGTAAAAAAAAACAGAATATAAATACTACTGAGATAAAATTATCATTTTTTTGTTTCCGTTGTATTGAACTGAGTATCAATTTACTCACTGAGTTAGTAAGTTAATTGGTTTAGTCACAGACTATTAGATTACAGTGTACTATCTTTAAAGTCTGTGGTAAGGTTAACCACACGAGTCTGAAATTCTGTCAAAAATTAATAATAACAGTAATAAAATTACCTTATAATATTTTTTTAAACATATGTTTTTTTGTGTATTACTGTTATCAGGTCCAGTACACTCTGCCGATTGAGCTATATAGCTGTAAAGACCTATATTAGCTCTATTGACCCATCTGAAATAGGTCTTTTGAGCTATTTTCAAGTGATTTTCTTTTTTAAGGAAAACGAAACAAAGTCGCTTTTAAAAGAAGATTGTATCATTAAGTTGATAACAAAAGACATTATATATAATTATTCTTTTTAAAAAATAATGATGTAAAAAAATCGGAAATTTTACATTTATAAAAAATGAAAATAAACATCTGACTGTATGCTTTTTATAGTCAACATTACCATAAACCTTATTGTTTTATGCGACTTTGCTTTAATTTAATGAAAATTGAAATCTGAGAAATCTGAGCTCAATAAAGCTATAATGTATAGGTGTATATAGCTGTATAGGTCTTTATAGCTATATAGCTCAATTGGCAGAGTGTACTGAACCTGGTAATCATAAATTTTTGACATAATTTCAAACTCCTTTGGGTTAAGAAGCAATATTGGTCACCCCCTATTAATTTCAACTCCATGATAAGACTAGGTATTTATAGATAAAAGAACACCGAAGATAAGTGACCTATTCTCTCTCTACCGTCGTGTCATGCCATTATTGGTAACTACGACGTATACAATGTAAAATGCTTATCATTTCCTCTAGTCATAGGTTTCCGTGCGTTATATATTTCCGCGCAGTCATTTTATCAACCTACATCTCGTTACTTTATCAAGTTCATGACCTGCTGGACACTACACATCAGAAAATTCCTTCATTTAACTAAAGGAATGTACTGATGGTGTGACTGTTCGAGGTATACATGTACATGTATGTATATATATATATGTATGTAAAAAATAGGCCTAGTCCTCACATTTGACCACTGCTGGTAGAGTTAGACAACATGCCTACAGCACTACTGAACATAACAGACACATGTACTATACAAATTTAGTATGGAATCCATAAACTAATGATACAGCTTCACTGAACCTTATGTGTACTACATCAGTACATGTACAATTCATATGTCAACTCCGACATCAGTCAATCCTGTGACATCAGTCAACCCTCTGACATCAGTCAACCCTGTGACACCAGTCAACCTTCTGACATCAGCCAATCATGTGACATCAGTCAACCCTGTGACATCAGTCAATCCTGTGACATCTGTCAACCCTCTGACATCAGTCAACCATGTGACATCAGTCAACCCTGTGACACCAGTCAACCCTCTGACATCAGTCAATCATGTGCCATCAGTCAACCCTGTGACACCAGTCAACCCTCTGACATCAACCAATCCTATGACATCAGTCAATCATGTGACATCAGTCAACCATGTGACATCAGTCAACCCTGTGGCATCAGTCAACCATGTGACATCAGTCAACCCTCTGACATCAACCAATCTTATAACATCAGTCAATCATGTGACATCAGTCAACCATGTGACATCAGTCAATCCTGTGACATCAACCAATCATGTGACATCAGTCAACCATGTGACATCAGTCAATCCTGTGACATCAGTCAATCATGTGACATCAGTCAACCCTGTGACATCAGTCAATCCTGTGACATCAGTCAATCCTCTGACATCAACCAACCCTGTGACATAAGTCAATCCTTTGACATCAACCAATCCTGTGACATCAGTCAACCCTCTGACATCAGTCAACTCGCTGACATCAGTCAGCATCAGTTGCCAAATCAATGACAACCCTACATGTTTGTGTGTACAATTTGATGGAGCATCATCAATTGTAGATTGTATTAGTACAAGATTTGTCTCCCCTGGTCCATGTTAAAGTTCTAGGTGAAAAAAGGAAGGCCTATGTACATTGAAACAGTCCAATTTATATATGACGCATTCAGTATAATTGCTAGACGCCCAAACAGTAATGATAAAATAATATGGCATGGTATTATAATATAGGAATTGTTCAATCAATATGAATGTATTTCATATGAGAAAAGGATTTAAGTTCAGGGATTTTGCCAGGTGTTTATAGGGTCCGATACAGGGACCCATTCCCAATTGAAAAATGACCTGCATTTTCCCAATTTCAGTCTTTATTTTCCCAATTGGAATAAAAAGCATGTTTATATACATTTTCAGTCGTAATATGTGCAATGTTCAAAGTACTACCGTCCATGGAAGAGCGTTCACAGAAAATTGATTTGTTTATGTTAGTTTAAACATATTTTATTTGAAAAAAATCAAATGGAATTGGACACAAGGTAAACAACTTAGAAACATCCTCTTCCTCTTCCATTCTCTTTGTTTATGTATTGCTGTACATTTTACTGAAACAAACAGCTTGAGGAAAACGTTTTGCTAATCAAATTGCAAGTTTACTTTTCCAAACATGATATTTTTTTCAAAACTGTACATGTGGGAACACTGATCAGATAAAACTTTCAACTTTTACCAAATGCCGATGAAATTTTCCCAATTCCATAAGGTGTAATATACATAAATAAAATTGCTGTCAATTTGGATATGCTATAAGTATATATACTTGGTTTTTATAAGTGTACGGAATGACGATAAAATTGACCAGTCAATTTGGCGACCCTTTCTTTAATACCTAGTCATAGATGTGCGAGAGTCTATGAGCCCTCTCATCTCGATTCAGAACTGGCCCTGCATAGCATATACATCCAAATGACTTCATTTATCTGCCACAGGAATAATCTCTCTGTCTGGCACTTTGGAGTTTCCAGGTATCTTGGTCAACAAAATTATTTGGTTGTGTGACACGATCTGTTATTGTCAACTTATAAATCTCAGAATATGACTGCTCCTTTTTTGATTGGGTGAATTTCTTTCTCTCTGGTGCTCAAAGACTTACACTTTACTGGTCATTGGTCTGATGAAGGTGACGAAGTGCACACCATACTCATCATCAAGACGTCACATATAAATGTTTCACTGGTTGTGCTATATGAATCTGTTTACAATTTACCAACCTGAGGAAATTGTTCAGAAATGTGTGTCTGATGTTTTCTAATTGTTAATCATATACGTATTTGATTTAAGATCGCTGGTGGAGACCTGGAGTTGGACCTATCCTTTTCTACACTGGCAATGAAGGTTCCATCAATGACTTTGCAGACAACACAGGTTTCATGTATGACATTGCCCCGGAATTTGAAGGTCTCTTGGTGTTTGCTGAGCACGTAAGTAATTCCAACTATTGCTAATATTAGACTCTGTCACATGCCTATACAGTGGTAAGTGAATGGCACTGCTGATTGATCCAGAGAGAGCTTTGTTATCTAGCAGAGTGACCATAGCCACGACAATTAGTTTGGTTTGCAATACGGAGAAGCTTCCAGGATCTGTAGGTTTTACAGTGTAGTGTTTGGGAAGTGTTGGGGTAATATTGATAATACAGACTCGTTTGGTTGTCCGCAAGTCTAGAACCCTCAAGGGGTTGGCTTACTTCACTGAGGCAAACCAATAAGTAGACTTCTCAATCAGCATGTGACAGAAAAGATGTGGTGCGTCTGCTTGGCATACCAACATGGCTTATCTTTATGTGGAGTATAGGTATGTAAATTCTTCTAGTATAAGATTAAGTATGGCAGTATCTTACAGGTGAGCGAAGGGGGTGGGTCTGGAAATAACAAGAATTTCAGGAATCTTTACATCAGTACATTTCCGATTGAAAAATGATCCTGGATTTTCCCAATTTCAGTCTTTTTCCCTATTGAATTAAAAAGCATGTTTATACAAGTTTCCAGTCGTATTACCGTCCATGAAGGAGTATTAAAAAAAAAAAAGTAGCGAAAATTTTAAATTAAATCAAAATAAAAACACTGAAAATTGATGTGTTTATTTATTGCTATACACTTTTACTGTTAGAAACGGCTAGAGGAAAACCTTTTGCAAATCACAGTGTATGTTTCATTTTTTCCAAATTAATGATATTTTTTCAAACCAGCTGTACAAGTGGGAACTATGATAAAATTTCTCAATTCCTGCCAAATGCTGATGATATTTTCTCAGTTCCTGTTCAGGGGTCCTTTCCCAAAATAACTGGCAAAAACCCTGTGACTCTCCGATGTTAACACATGAATATTCTCATGTGACTGTTGTGATGCTAAAATTGTCATTTTGAATATCACTTCAATAATATCATGCATGAACTCACGCAAGGGATCATGATATTTCTCATTACACACTTCGAGGTGCTGTGCTGGCTGCAGCTTCAACTACTGATCGTCAGGAATTCTTTGGATTGAGTTATTATACATGGTCTAAGCTTGGAGCCAGTCATCAACTCATATCAGTCCTATTCATGTTTAGGAGTGTTTGTGCTATACATCTTCCAACTTTGTATGGATTATGATATGGCGTTGTTCATCCACATATCTGTAAGCTTTTTGCCCTGACAAATTGTCCTTCAACTTTAACACTTTTACACTTACAAGACTCCAGCACCATCATGTACAGATATGGATTTTGTTCACAAATTATAATAATCCCCACATTTTAAGCTTTCACCACATGAACAATTGCTGAGTGTAATAAAGAGACAGTTACATGTATGATGTCAGGAAGGTCGGTAGATCTGGCCCTGTCTCTGGAATCTTAGTCCCATAACATTGAAATGGCTGACATCCCTATCAAATAACCATATATAAACGATTTCTTGGCATGAAGAGACAAGTACAATCTTGATATCAGACTTGACTCCGGGGACTTGCCACATCCAAGGGACTTAGTCCCTGAGTCACAATTTAGAAAGATTGTTGAGATGCCTAACTTATATTAACTTATAAATGGTTATATTATACAATTGCTGCACCTGCATAGTTCAAATAAGATATGTTACCAGGGTCATAACAAAAAACCAGTCAGATCCCCACCCCATAACCATATTGGCAGTTGTTGGTCATAAAATATCTGTAATAGAGAATGCTACCAGGATTTGCCTTGGGTTCTGTCTTGCCCTTGATAACTTCGTCTTTGGGTCACAACATGGAAATTGAGATTCCCACCCATGAACAAGAAATACATTTGCTGGGCATGAAGAAATGAGCAATATCATGCTACAAAAATTGGCCTTGTTGATTGCCTGCACTTTAAGGACATAGTCTCTGTGTGACCAGGGTCATAACATGACAACAGTTGAGATACCCATCTTTTAATCATATATATGTACCGTTTTTTACCGGCAATAAGCCCCCTCTCGCAAATAAGCCCCCTCCCCTCTTTGGTAAATGTCTTGGGAACAGGGTGGGTGCTTGGCATTAAGCCCCCTCCCTAATTTGGTCTCCATCTCAAAAAAAATTGTATGTCAGTTTTTGTCTCTGACATAAGCAATATTATAGCACATGATTATGGAATATGATGTAAACATAACAAAATATCAAGATATCTAGATGGCTTAACTTAAAACAAAACATCGTTCTGTTGCTGAAAGAACACCATGCTTTCCGTTTTTAACCGGTTGTGTATTTTGCAGATTTCAATGTAAAACGAAACATGTTGCTTGGACCAAATCCATTATATCTATAGTCTGTACTGAAAAAGCAAATTATGAAAACACTTTAAAGGGGCTGGTCGGGGAAAAAATTACAAAATAAATGGGTCTAAATGCGTTCTCTGGCCTTCCAAAAGTTATACCACAGCAATATGATGGTCGAGTTCTGCTTGCAATGTCCAGTTTTGACCACTGTAAATCTCGGGGAAGCCCCGCGTCAATTTAGCGCAGATCTATTTATATATGTCACGTGGTTGTTTCGAAAGTGAGGAAGTAAAGATAACAACAATAGCACGCCGTCATATGCCATGTCGGACTCAACTAGCGGACAAGACAGCAATACTATTCGTAAATTATTGTTTTCAAAGGTCATGTATGATGCAAGTGTAGTATTCCTACCTATATGTTGTTGTTATATATAACGGTATTGATACATTGTACCTCGTGCCTGTCTCTTAGGGAGTGAATTTCAGCAAAATTTGAATCGGTATATTTCATAAGAAGGTATTTTAAACATGTGTATGTCATTTTAGCAAATATGACATTTTTTCCCCGACCAGCCCCTTTAAAATACTTTTATGAGTTGTAACAGAGAGGTAAAATTGTTTTTAAATTGATATTTTTTTCGTTATTTTAACAACATGAACAACTACAGTGGATAAGTACATGATATTTAGTGTGGTCATATATCAAAACAGTGGTATATATTTTCTCTCAGGAGGGGGGGCCTTATTGGTGGTAAAATACGGTAATAAATGTACATGAAAGTTCAAAAACAGGTATGCTGCCAGGATTGGCCTCAGGATCTGTCCCTGACCATAGGGACTTAGTCCCAGGGCCATGCTATAGAAATGGTCCGGATTTCCACTTTATAACCACATGTACATTTTCTGAGTATGAATAAGGAAATACACATAGTTACCAGGATTGGTTCCAGGGTCTGGCCCCATACTTGATAACTTATTTCCTTGGTCATAACTTTGAAAGAGTTAAGCTCCCCAACCCATAATCAGGTATGTGTTTGCTAAATTTGAAAATTCTAATACAGAATGAGATGTGTTACCAGAATTACCCTCAGAGTCTTCCACAGCCCAAAGAGACTTAGTCCCTGGGTCATAATATGGAAACGTTTTAGATCCTTCCTAAACATGTGGTGTTATGCATACTTATATCCTCAAGACTTAATATGCAGTGGAATGAAACAGTTAAACTCTTCAGTCAGATGTAGTTAGTAGCCTTGATCAAATTTTGTCTCCAGCACATGCTGTCAATTGGCTGATTACAGGAAGCCGATATTGGTGCCATGTGATCAGCTCTGCCACCATATGTAGGCAGTTATTGATCAGTGATCTTTTGGTGGCTTATTTAAAAAAAAAATGATTTCCAGACATATTGGCTCTAAAAGTGAACAGTAATGATGAGTGTTTATTTGATTTTTGAATGTTCTCATGCCAGTAAGACTAAACCTTGAAATACATTTTGACTCTGTTATGGAATGGTATTTTTTTATGATGAAGTCACATAGATGGTTTATGTGTCCTACCCCAGACAGCCAGTCCATCATTGTGTTGTTAAGATATTTGCTAAGATCAGCAAAATAGATTGATACTTGCTCATTGGTCAACAAGTGGTCGGTTACTTGTCGTGGCACATGATGCTGGACTGATGTAGTTACTATTAATCTATGTCCTGTAATTTAGCCAGTCACTGGGGAGTAAAATCAATGGAAATAGATTAGTTTTCTCAGCAAAGTGGCCAAGCTATTTCTTTACAATTGTCCTATGGATTTGCAGGATAAGACCATTGGCTGGAGGGTGAACTCGGCCATTCATCACGACACACCAGTATGTATGATGTCTGTCAGGTTTTATTGGGTACAACAGACATAAATGCAAAATGAAGATGTGGACAGAAAGGAAAGGTCATCCAGTTTCTTATCGGTTAATTAATGGGAGGTAAAACTGACCTTGTCACTGTTCTTAGGTGCTGACCCTGACCAAAGGTCCTCACCAGTCTGGTCAGTTATATACAGACAAAGGTCCTCACCAGTCTGGTCAGTTATATACAGACATAGGTCCTGACCAATCTGGTCAGTTATATACAGACAAAGGTCCTCACCAGGCTGGTCAGTTATATACAGACAAAGGTCCTCACCAGGCTGGTCAGTTATATACAGACAAAGGTCCTCACCAGTCTGGTCAATTATATACAGACATAGGTCCTCACCAGTCTGGTCAGTTATATACAGATAAAGGTCCTTACCAGTCTGGTCAGTTATATACAGACATAGGTCCTCACCAGTCTGGTCAGTTATAAACAGACATAGGTCCTCACCAGTCTGGACAGTTATATACCAACATAGGTCCTCACCAGTCTGGTCAGTTATAAACAGACATAGGTCCTCACCAGTCTGGTCAGTGATATACAAACAAAGGTCCTCACCAGTCTGGTCAATTATATACACACAAAGGTCCTCACCAGTCTGCTAAGTTATATACAGACAAAGGTCCTCACCAGCCTGGTCAGTTATAAACAGACATAGGTCCTCACCAGTCTGGTCAATTATATACAGACATAGGTCCTCACCAGTCTAGTCAGTTATATACAGACAAAGGTCCTCACAAGTCTGGTCAGTTATAAACAGACATAGGTCCTCACAAGACTGGTCAGTTATATACAGACATAGGT